AGTGGATTTCCTCCAAATTACAGGGAGTGATTATATCCCACCTTGTTGGCCATGTGCCACCCCCTTCTCTCAGCAAGGGGCCCCCGGGTAGCCAGCCACTGTCAACTGTCAGTGATCACAGCTGAATCATTTAGTGAAAGTTGAGAGGTGTGTAATTGGCACAAAAATAATAAGGAACTAAACCCAAAGTGGAAAGAGAGTCGTTGCACATTGTAGGTAATTTACCAATACCTATGGTTTTTGATTCGTTATTGCAAAATAAATGTGTTTCCATTGGATTTGGGAAATTGCAGAAAATAAAAAGCAATTTATGATTTTGAAATCATAACAGAAATTGCTGGAGGTAAAGAGCGATTATATTATTCAAACAAACAACATAACAGCGTTGCATCAACACAACAGTTATCAAAGGCGCCCTTGTCTTCGCTGTGAATAGGTTTATAGTCTCATTTAGCGACTTGTTTGGAACCGCTGTTTTTAAGACAAATTTAAGGCAAGGCAAGTTTATTTATATAGCACACCCACGAGGCAATTCAAAGTGCTTTACAAAAATGAAAGACATTCAGACAAAGGCATTTAAAAACAGTCATTAAAAAGAAAAGATAATAAAAGAAACATTAAAAGAAATAATACGTGAATAAAAAGTTACAGTGCAGTTTAAGATATGAATAGTTCACACAGAAGTTCCACTTCACTGATGCCTTTCTTTAAGGTTTCTCCGAACATGAGCTGTGTACGCTTGTATGGCACATACGTCCCGAGCAGCATACACAGAGAAAATCAACCAGGAAAAAGTCCCCAGACACTGATTCCCTGGGGTTACTAGCCCCAAATGTTCATTAACCAAAAACGAAACACAACCGCTCAGTTTCAATTAAAAGCAGCGGCAAAAAGATAAGTCTTCAGCCTGGATTTAAAAGTAGTAAGAGTTGCAGTGGCCCTGCAGGTTTAAGCTTCAGAGATTCACAAGTGGGGTGTTGTTCGACATTAATAGTTCAAGCTGGTGTTAACAATAGACCTCATTTCAGGCATTTAACCAATAAACATATCCCCAAAAAAAAGTTATATTGTGATGGAGGGCCCAGAAGTGCTAAAACGCTAACTCATTTCTAGGTGTTCAGGTATTTGAATCACTGTATAACAAAGGGATTCAGAACTCTTAAAGGGGATGAACTTTATGGTGGATGGATGTAAAGGTCCGACCAACAATGAGACAGTGTGCCACTGAACAGTTGCACAGACAATGCACAGGCATGGAGGGAGTTACAAGAGCTTTGAACAAGTGTGTTTTTAAAACAACCATTGATGCCTCAAAAGCAACAGATCCAAGCGTGCAGCCATGCAGCGGGGGTTTCCTGCCCCCATTTTTGATGGAAGAAAGGTTTCCCATCACTTCTAAGCTATTGGCTCCATACAGTTTGGGATTACATAGAAGCATGAAGGAGGACACTCTGTCTACCAATCTGTTTTTTTTTTTATTTGAAAACTCCCCCAAGCTTTTCCATTATCTACTCCATATCAAGCTTGACCTGAAGAGCAAACCTGGCTTCAGAAGGGTCAATGCAGTCGAGACCTTCTCCACATCCTGCACAGCCGACCCCCGCCCCCCACCTCCACCCCCATCCTGCATATTGCTTTAGGACACAAGAGGGATGTGCACTCCCCTCCTCCTTATTCCCGCCCCTGCCTCCTTTGGTCCATTCTCCATTTACAACTTACAATAGCATCTCCCGTCACCATAATCTTTCTATTTCACTACCCCGCCCCTTGGGCTTAAGATGGATATGGGATTTTGTCTCTCAATTGACAGCACTGCTGTTGTGCTTTCTGGCTCTGTCCACTCTTACGGATGGTCAGAGGATCCATTTGAAGAAAAGTCACTCACCGTTTGTCCAGACATTGAGTATTAAAAACTGTAGCTTCATAGGGCTAGTGAGCAGAGGAGCCTGACAAAAAGGAACTTTAGATACCTGATTGATTATACTAATAATTATATTACGTACGAGCAATAAAATATAATGTACAGTAGGAAAATTACTCATTATAATAATGCTGGCAATAAACCCTAATGGTATACCATTATTGCGGTTGCTTGTACTACTTTCTTAAAACTACTACTTCTGCTACCTCTGCTACGAATACAAATGGTCATAACAGGAATAATTTAATACCATTTTGATAAATAATATTTTGAACATTTAAAATTGCTGTTACCCAGGCAATAAACCTGCACTTATTAATTGTTTTTGAGCAACTTGGGGGCAGCTGCACTAACCAGTGAGCACAACATTGATATAAAATCTTTTTTTTTAACATAATGATACTGTGTTAATTATCAGCAAACAGTTGCTTATCTACACATATGGAGCAACAGAATTATTATTTTAGAGTTTTCTTTCTCACCACTTGAAGGAGAGCAAAGAAATCTGCCTCATCACGAGTGATTTCAAAATGTGGTCAATATATTTCATTGTTCATTAATAGTATATTTTGTAAGACATCAGATGGGTTAGAACTAGAAGCAAAAACAAAACCTGCTAATGCTTATGCATTTCACTGCTATAACAGGATGGTTATTTTAAAGGTGTACTCCTACGCAATCCAATTTTAAATAATGTATAGGTTGCTGAATGCGGGGCCATGTAAACCGTGGTAGGAAGTGATGCTGATGGTGATTGTAAACCCTGATGTCAATCATTACAATTAACCTCCATTTCAGCGTAATTAATATTTGTGCATTTTTTGCAGGTTACAAGCTAAACACACTCATCTCAGGGCACCTGGATACTATGATTTGTCTGGGAATGCTCCGTTTATGTGTATATGTATTAGCTCCAGTTACCAAGCTGCCTATTAAAACATAGAATGCCATTGGAGACGCAGCCTCGGTTCTAGGTTACATTTTATTTTAACAATAAATGTAATGCCCTGGAGGAAAAAAAGGATCACGTTAATATCACATTATAGGTTTAAAATGTATTAAGCAATCAATTCCAAGTAGTTACATTTGCTTCATTCAGCTGCATAATGAGTAAACATTTTAAATAGTAAAAACACTTTCTATTATGGCGAGTCAGGCCATCTATTATGATAGCAAAGGCAGGTAAATGTTAGTGCACAGAGGTCATTTATTGAAGGCAACAGAGATAAACTGGGATTTTTTTCTTTCCAAAATGTTCCTTCAAAGCGAGAAACAACGAAGGGAACAGGGGACAGGGGAGAAAAAAAATCTTCATTGAATATTCATTAACCGTTGCCTAGGTGTATACATGGCTCTTAACCACTCTTGTTTATGACTTAAGGACTTGTAGTACTGACCTTAGTTTAACACAGAAGCAGATACCAAATTAACCTCTAGCCTCCACAGGGCTAGCCATGCCCTGCTAACAAGCAACCTGTCTAGACACACAAGAAGTACTTTATGATCCCACCTCTCACAATCGCTCTCTCTCTCTCTGCCTCTCTCCGTCTTTCTCTCTTTCTCTCAACCTCTCTGTTAACACGCCGGCACATCCTCTCTCCCTACTAACCTCTTCTATCTTTCACCTCAACATTTCATCCCTATTTTGCCCCTGCACCATTTATCATGTACCTCCCAAGCTGTGCAGTGTTTGGGTCATGCACCCAGCTACCAGAGTTTTTATCAGATGGTGGACTTTCTCTTATCATTCACAACACAGCCTGGCCAGAGCAGAGTAAACTAATAATGGGAAGATCTGAAACCTCAAGGGTGCTTGATTTCAATTAAAGTCACAATAAGTAAGACCAATAGTAAAGCTATACAAATAAAAGCTTAATCATGTTACTATACATTTCAAAGCAGATGTCCACATGACTATTGTGAGACCAAGAATTTCATGAAAGAAGGCAGAAATATCTAGCAGAACGTGCAAAGAGGTCACTAAACTCACTTACTGTGTATCATATGCACAGTATAACTATGACATTGTAAAACTGAAATATTACAATCATTTATGTCAAAGGAATAAGATGATAGGAACAACAATTTAAAAATAATTAGCCCTCTGTCAATTATAGCAATAAAGGCACTTCATTGGTTTCACTATATGTTATACACATATCATCAATGTGATTCATTCCTTCTCCCCGACTGAGAAGAACAAAACATGTTTATTCCATGTTGAGCCTAAACATTTCAGAAATGAGTGCAAATGCAGGTTATATTTCCCCAATCCAAGATGATGTATATATTGCTTGTTTTCAACCAACCAGTCAAAATATGCAGTTCATTTGGGATGCTGACTTTAGCTTGAAAAGTGACTAGAGTGATTTACAACATATAAAAACAACTGCCAACTGTCACTTATCAGTTAATTGACTAATTGTTGCTACTTTACTGTACTTACAGTCTGCACTATGATCCAGAAATGTCTGTCCTTCCTTGCAGGCAGATCTGACCTGAACCTGTACATCTGGACTCCAGCTAAAGGCTCACTGTCCAGCAGCAGCCAGTTCTCATCTAGACTGTGACAGTTTGCAGTGGTCCATGGAAACTGTGCTGTAAAAATATAGCATAGTGCGGGGACATAGTTAGAAATGAGGTTAGAAGCATTCCAGGAATTACTTTTTATAACGCCTGGTCAAAATCTAAAACTACCTTTAATAATTTCTCCACAATAAAATGTCACAACAAAGTAGTCATATTCAGATATTAATGTTTATATTTCTACTTGAATGTAAAAGTAAATTGCAAGATAACACATTTATATTTTATACAAATAAAGCAATTGTTAAATGGATGAATTTGAGCTTTTAGTTTGTATTAGGTCATTTTATTACAACACTATTGGGGAGATCTGAAATGTTAAAAAAAAACAGGCTTATCCACATACATGCAACGTTTGCAAATTGGTGATGTGTTTACAAAAACTGTGTGTTAAATAATTATAAATATGTCAAACTCTCGAAGCAGAGATTACCCAGTGTCTGTCTACATTTCTGCTCATGTAGTTTTCACTTCACACAGAATATGTACCACCGCGCTCTTAAGAGTTTTGTCCTCGCTCGGTCTCCGTATAGTACACGCCTCTGATTGGTCAGTTCACGGTCCATGCAAAATACAATCGTTTGGAAGACGTAGCTCGGGTAAGTGAAACACTACCAAACATTTAGCTTATAATAACAATTATAAAAGCAAACATCTCCATTTGCACTCCGCTTTATATTTAGTAAACGTATACAATGTACTAACAAGCAAAGGCACCCTCTCACACCATTAAGTGCAAGCATTTTCGTGACAGAGTTTGCAGTTAGCCGGTTAGCTACACTCATTAGCTAGCGGCTAACGCTACTTGTCCATACAGTGTGAAGCTAATTATTCTTGACTACATCAGTGTTTGAGTCAAAGTGGGAACATGACTACGCGTTACGCCCAGAACCCACTTAAAGACAGTCGCTCCTGCAGTTGAATTAAACAAATAAACGCCATCAAGCACGAGTTAGCTGGCACGATGCTAATGTAGCTAGCTGAAGGAAACAGGCACCATAACAACGTCACTTGTTTCTGCAACTTTTTCAGATCACAGCAAAGATGAGTTTGAGAAAGCAGACCCCGAGTGACTTTCTGAAGCAGATCATTGGGAGACCTGTGGTGGTCAAACTGAACTCTGGTGTGGATTACAGAGGTAATTCAGCCGGCATGTACAACATATCCCTTTGTTTCCAGTATGTGATTACAAGTGTTAAGAGTTCTCTTATGCCTTAACAAAACACGTGTGTGATCTGCCTGCAGGTGTCCTGGCCTGCCTGGATGGTTACATGAACATTGCCATCGAGCAGACTGAGGAGTATGTCAACGGGCAGCTCAAGAACAAGTATGGAGATGCTTTTCTAAGAGGAAACAATGGTAAGATTTTCCAATTTATTATTTTATCGCCAATTTGAAGAAGTGAGTGTGCAAAATGTTGTGTTATACAAGCCAGTAGCCAAAGTGGTCATCATACTATAAACAAAAACAGGCCACAAGTAGTCTGTTTTTAACCTTTTACACTAGAAAAGGTTCGTTTTTCTGAACTAATAACATTAAACATTACTCTGTTCCATTTAAGTATCCCTTTGTCCAATTTAAATATCATCTTAATCCTTTAGAGATGTCTTTTGCTCAGTCTTAGAGCGTTGTGGGCCGAGATATGTGTTTGATAGGGTAAGATGGTGCGACTTAAGAAAACAATTTAAGTGACTACACAAATCGGTACTGTTCAACAAAAACAAAGACAACCGTCAGAAAAGCACTGACATTGTATTCAGATTCCCCCTCTCATTCGTTTAACAAAAAAGAAAAAAAGTTTCATTTACTGACCCCTTTGATTGTTCCAAAAAGTGTGATATTGCTGATGGTGTAGGACCACCTATTATTGTGACTGAAGTTCTCTCTCAATTGTTGATAACTAAAAAATCCCAGCATGTTTCATTATTTTAGTATTCACTATAAAATCAATGTCTTCCTTCCAGTCCTGATTTTCCCTACACCAGCCATGTGCTGTATTTACTGTTATTCCCTCTTGAGTATGAGTCATGCTGCCCGGTGGAGTTCTCTGTGTGAAGAACGAGCCAACAGCTTAAGATGGGGCTATTTTAGTCAAAACAGAGCAGGCTCATAACCTGTTTCTCTGTGCAGTCTGCAGCTGTACTCCTCCACCCAGAATGACCAGTGCAAAAAACATTTCTCCAATTGAACTCAGAAGAGAGATGTGATCACTCTGAGATCTACATCAGTGAGCCTGTTCTTAGCACAGAGAATGTATTTATGGTGTACCATGGGGAAGTGAAGGGTGACTGCAAAGAGCTATAAGCATTACGGGTCAGCCTTAAAGTACATACATATAAATTCCATATGAATGTACAATTGCAGGCAGCAGACTTGATCGCATCAAATGAACACACAACAAGACATCATGCATTTCAGATGCCATTGTGTTTATACAGCCTTTTTTAATGTTTAATGTTTTTTCTCTCCACAGTCCTTTACATCAGCACCCAGAAGAGGAAAGTGTAGTGAAGACCCTTGTTTTTTATTTTTTATTTTCAGTGTTTGATATGTCGGTGGACAACTGTCCTATGTTGTTGGTTCTGTAAAGCCTGAATACCTGTGTTTGATTTTGTCAAATCGGAATATGTTAATAAATCCCCAGTTTTGATTTACATCTGATTTGGTGAATATTTTTTTGTACGCATTTTGGTTTGAACTTCGCAAAGATAACAATGTTTTTTTTCTTTCCTCAAGTCTTTGTAAAAATGTTAATGCTGGGTTTGAGGTAACGGTATCATTTCAACAGGCCTTGTTCTCAAAAAGTTTGTTGCTCATATCTTTGGATTTAATTCTTGAATTCGGGCTTCTTCACAAGTGCCAGTGGGATTGTTGCAGGGGAATACAGATTTTTGGCTTAAATCCCTCTAAGTTCATCCCTGGAGGAAGCAAATCTACCAATGTTTTACCACAAGGCTTCAAAGGGATTAGAACTCAAATTTGTAATTTGCCTGTACTAATTTTGTAGTTGATCTTGATACAAATTGCCTACAGAAAGCAATTACTGAATAGCCTGTGTACACATGTACTTAACATCCTGCGCTTGCTTTATAATTTAAGTAATTCGAACAGGTGTTTTCATTATTGGAAATAAAATAAAGCAAGTATTGTTTCACATATTAAAAAGACTGCATTTCTACTGAAAGCTCTGTTTTTTTTCTAATTATTATAGTGAAGATGAGTGTTGGTACTGGAAATGTTCCTACAGCTCTGACTCACTCCGTTAATGTACCTGCATCTGAACTTCACTGGTATCCAGCTGAGAAAATCATAAAGCATATGCCTGCATGATGGAGTACTTATACATACAAAAGCAACTCACTTTGTTTAATGCAGCATTGGAGAACACTTCAGTATGTACATGTGAAATTAAATTCTTCACTTACTGGCCATTTAAATATCCATTACTCAATAACACAAGAAAGACTGCAGCACTAATCTATAAAAGCTACCACCTGCAGGCTATGTCACTCACATGTACACAGATCTGTCAGATCACATGTTTCAGTGCTTTAACATGTCTCGCATCACACAGCTTACCTTTTGTCATGTGACTGCACATAGATGCTCTTTGTTCAGGTTGGGCTTCTGCGGTTTCCATCGACGTGCCCTGTGAAAATGAATGCAGCGGCATATGCAAGGAATTGGAAGTTTATTCCATTTCAGTGTGGCCTGTGGTAATTTAGCAAATGAGTTCAAAAGTGGCATCACCTCATTACACTAAGATAAGGACGCTATAAATATATGATTCATTAGGCTCTTAATGAGAATGCTGTAGTGAAGAGGCAGTGAGGGGAATTATTTTCCTTCCAAGTGTGGATTTTTTGAGAACCTTGTTTTCCAACCTGTACATGCGCACTCTGGCCCCTGGAAGGAGACAAAAGGCAGCCAAGGTCAGGCCCGACTTGAGAATGAAGGACGCGTTATTGATCAAACTCTGCCGAGCTGCAGCTGTAGAGAGGGAATGTTGTCGGGGGGGTTGAGCTGCAACACAGACACACACAGACACACACACACAGGCTGACATAGGCACTGAGTGATGTGTACACAGAAACGCATTGTACACAGTGCAACACACAAAGAATCATTATGGCACCTAGTGAGGGTTAGAACAGGCAAATATTTACCCACTGGAATCATAACTGAGCCGCTGGCTGTGTGGCCTTACAGGGAACCCAATTAATACTATTCACGCAAATGACCTAGTGGCAGGCATCATGCGCTTTTAAACAAAAGCAGGGAAATGAAGCATTCACTTCCTCATTTTGCATGATAACAGAGTATTGATGTTAGCCTCACAACCCTTTTCAAACGAGACAGTGGAAACAACCCTATTTTTATTTCACAAAGCTTCTTTCAAGATGCCTTTTACCCCTTGTCGTGCGTAGTTTGTTTAGAGCACTGGTCCACTATCTCCACTCCCCCCATAAAAGCAGACGGGCTCAGGGTCTGGCTGAGGATGCTGCAGTGGTTCAGCGTTGACGTATGGAGGTGAGTGATGGAGAGGAGAGGACAAAGGAGAATAGAATAGGTGACAGTCTTGTTATGTGGGAGAAAAGAAAGGAGGAGACTCAAGTCTTATAGCACCACCAGCTGCCCGATGTACAAAACTACAGTGGAGTCGCAGGAGAGAGGAAGGAAGGAGGAGGGGGGAGGGAGAGGGGAGTACGACTTTGACCCTGACTGATCACTGCAGCATGACTGTCTAGCCTTTTCACAAGGGATCATAGGATGACAAGGACAACCTGAAAATCTGTGATTTTTCCCCCATGTTTGACTGTACCATGTTCTTATTTGGACAAGGACTCATTTCTTTCTTCTTCTATGCAAATCTATTCAGAGTCGATCTTTTCATATGAAAGGTTTAGCCAGGGTTGAGAGTTCGCTGCACGTAGGGAGTCATTTTTCTCTCCCTCGCTTATTTCTTTTCTTCTTATTGCAGTATCAAGGTGAATCATGACACGATAAATGAATGTGTCATGTGTGTGCAAAGTAGGAATAATGTGTTGAATGTACAGAGGTTAAAAACATATCAGAAACACCTTAAATGCAACGCTAAACCAACACACATTACATCCTCATAACTTACCATAGGGCTTAATCAACTCTTCTCTGGACTGTCTGTCTGTAAACAAAGCACAAGAAGTTTAACAAAGATTGGGTTTTGGGCAATATATGGATATTTATTAATATCATCATATGAGACTAGATATCGTCTTAGATTTTGGCTATTGTAAATGTTAGACAGGATGCCATTTTCTACATTCAACCAGGATGTTCTAGCAGTTTTATTATTTGCATTTACTTGCTTAGTCAGTAAATCCACATTACTGATGATTGCTTACTATAATTCTCATTGTTTTAACATTTTGTGAAAGCTTCAATGTTCTACCCAACATATTGTGATATGATTATGTTCCTACTGCTAGTCCTACATTACACTTTCATTGTGTTTGCATAGATGAAAGTTGTATACCGGTTTTGCATGTGTACAGACTCCTCTCTCCTAACAGTGGACGTACTGTCCCGTGTGAACTTGACCAGCGTTAACCTCCACTGACAGCCTGTCATGTGGTTAGGATGTAAATGATGGCAGTGACCTCCCAAACTGTGTCTCTGCTCTCACATTCCTCTGGCTGGGTCAGAGGTCCTGTGAGGTTACTGCAGGATAAACAAACACCTTAGAAACGGCGTTACAATGGCTGGCTAATGTTGAAAACAGCTGCTGTGGATTATAAACTGAACACTCCTTGTTTGGCTATTAATCCATTAATCAGATGTGGTGATTCCTCTGAAAATATATCAAGATGAAGTTGTGCGTCACTGGTGTTTGGATCCAGAAGGTTCTCTGCTCCACTTCCTTGTCTCTAGGTAACCTAAATCCAAGTTCAAGTTTGACGGTTGTTTTGATCCTAATAGAGTGTGAGGGGCCTGTGCTAGCCTCTGCCGCTCTGCAACCCCTAGGCTCTTTATTTAGCCCCGAGGACAGTCAACCTTGGCCAGAAATGTGACCCTTGACTTTCTTATCTGGAAGAAGCTATTCCCAGCATGGACAGGGGCTCCTGTGATTTATCTTGGCTCCAAATGGCTGCGTGATGCAGATGGTGAGGTTAGAGGAGCATAACTAGGTACCCTTCAGTAAGCCAGAGAGCAGTACTGTTGCACTCTCAGAGCATTTAATGTGTTGGAGAGGCTCTAATGCTACACTCGCAGACAACAGCCAAAAAAAGTGTTGCATGCTACAGTAACACAGTCCACGTGAGTTCTTGAACCTTGACCCCAAAAGGCTCTCCAGCTGTCACACAACAGAAGGGTCTATTTTGGAAACACACTTGCCTGAAATCTCTGACTAGATTATAAGCATATTGTATTATTGGCCCTGACCTGACCCACTTACACCACAACAAGCTGGGAGGATGTGAATACAAAGCACATTGGCACTCTTTATCTCAGCAGGCTAACAGTTGTTTTGTAGATTTGTGTGTTCTGTGTTATTAGTGTGTCCTATGCACTTTTGTTTAACCTGTTATATCATAGAGGTGAGGCTTCACAGTTTGGGTTAAGTGGTTTCTTTTATAAACTTCATTACAATATATATTTGAATGTATGTGAGAGGCTATCTTTCACATCTGAAGACTTGAGACTGAGACTCAATTCAGACTAATGGCACTTTTCCACTGCAGCACGGTTTAAGCGGGCCGTGCTTTTCCACTCGGGCTAGTTCCGGCTCAGGGCTACTTTTTCACCTTTTTTCTGGCCCTACAAAATCGAGGTTCTTACCGGGCCAACAACCGGGCTGAATATGCTAAACTAGTGACGTAAACACTCGACTGCTGATTGGTCAGAGAGAATCGTCACAATCGTTGCGCGAGTTAATCCCTAAGCGTCGCATATATCAAGCGACGCTTGCAGCATTTTTGAAAACAGAGGAGTTCAAAGAAATGGCAAAAAAAAGCACGCCGTGGTCGGTTGATGAAGTGACGACGTTCCTCCATCTCATTGCGGATGATAAAATCCAGCGGGAGCTCGACGGCACAACTCGCAACTTAAAACATCACAAAAATTAGGACTTGGCCTTGACTGCTCTTGAATTTGATTTAAAACTTGAATGGCAAATGATTGAAGTCTCCATAAGCCTTTGCTATGACTGAAAGATCCTGAGTGGACAGCTACTGAGCGGACCTTGATGGGAGGTTATTTTGTCAGCTACTGTTTCCAATATTAAAACTTAAAGGTCACCTATTATGCAAAATCTCCTTTTTCATAAATGTTATACATCAATATGTGTCCCCTCTGTGTAAAGAGATTCTGAAAGTTTCAGGAAAAAAGATACAACACACACACACTACAC